GAGCCAGCTGAGGTGGCTCGGGCATCTGTTTCGGATGCCTCCTGGGTGCCTTCCTAGGGAGGTGTTCCGGGCATGTCCCACCAGGAGGAGGCCCCGGGGAAGACCCAGGACACGCTGGAGGGACTATGTCTCTCGGCTTGCCTGAGAACGCCTTGGCATGCCCCCGGAGGAGCTGGAGGAAGTGTCTGGAGAGAGGGAAGTCTGAGCATCTTTGCTTAGACTGCTGCCCCTGCGACCCGGTCCCGGATAAGCGGAGGAAAATGGATGGATGGATGGATGGATGGATGGAAAAGTTACTGGCAAATGCTTTTTCAGAGTTTATAGCTTATGGTACATTTGTTTTACTCATTTCAATGCAACATTTTGGGATAACCTAAGATAAGATGATCTTACAGCCAATTATTTCTGTTCAAAAGACTCTTGTTTATGAAAAGATAAATAAAGTGGTTAAAAGTTATGCGTCCTGCAAATTTCATTGTTGCGATGCAGGTGGGTTCTGCTGCACCCAAACAGAACTGATCTGGTGCTTTCATGGTCTGTTTACTAAAGTTTCACTAAATGCCTGCAAGTAAATAATGGTCCCAAACAGCAGCTGGTAGGGTGCCAGATGTCACTCAGGATCCTCTCTCAAATCCTCAACCAGCCCAAACCAGCCAGACTCGACCCGACTGCACCCTCCGGCGCTGGGCTCCTCCCAGCCCTGCCCTGCCAGACCCCCCACCTGCAGCAGGTGGCAGATGGCGCGGCGTGGCTGCGGAGATATCTGCTGGCCAAACAATGGGGGCTTTGTATGGGCCACTGGAGCTGACAGGCGTGGAGTTCAGCTATTGTGCACTGCACCATACACATGCAGATGAGGCCTATAAGAGGAGGGACTGCATTTTTTTAAAACTACGTTTACAACAGTGAACAGATGACAGGCCATAGCGCCTTGCAGGCAAATTTGGCTGAGTTTTAAACTTTTTGTTAGTTTCATAACCACCCTTCCCTCCCTCCTCTCTGACCCCTCACCACCTCCTCCATCTAAACACACAATCCATACCATAAAACCCAGCTTTGCAGGAGAAAGTGAAAACACAACACCAAAAATATGCAATTTTATGTTTTATTAAGCATTTTCCACTTACAAGTTATAAAGCAAAATGTTAGAGATATAAATTTCCATCAGTGTTTCAACAGACTCAGAGTTTTCAGTCAAATATTTTAACAGTTCTGTCTTCAATACATAATAACATGTTTATAGGATAATCTTACAAATTCTCATAAGCTTTAACATTAATTTCATTTAGTCGTTTTCTAAAGTGAAACCTTTAGAGAAAAGACCTTTTTTTCAGTGTTTTTTTACGTTTTAGAATATTTTTGTCATCGTTAAATTTCTAAAGTGAAACCTTTAGAGAATTAAGACAATTCTGGAAAGTGGGAAACATTTGCGCTGACTGCAACTGTTGTAGTGTTGCTCAGCAAAGAGGCCAGCTCTAAAAAGTCCCTTTTTAAGAAGACCTCTTTCCCAGCACCGCTTCTTCTCCTGCTGCGCGTGCTTCAACGTGCGACATTTGCTCTGTGAGACCACAGGACGCAGACCTCGCTTCTCCTTCCTCTCCAAACCTCATCCGCACAAAGAATGAGGGTCAACGTGTCGCTCTTGCGGCATACCTGACCTCATTCACATAAAGAATGAGAGTCATCTTGGCATGGACGGGACAAGAGGCGACGGTTCACGGGGGCCCTTCCTTGGGCCGGTGCCGTGCTGCCTGGATGAGAATCCTCCTCAGGAGTATCCAGGGATGAGCAGATACAGGGTCATCCTGCTGGTCAGGATGAGCATTTCCAGATAACAAGCTTCACAGCATCTGAGCATGAGAGGAGCCAAGTCCCAGATCAACGCTCGGGGAGGCTGATCTCAGGAACCCAGTCGTTCAGGCGGCGGCTCTCCTCGCAGAACAGGTGCAGCTTCTCTAGAGCAGGGTCCTCCCAAGACCCTTCAGCTGGGTTCTGCTCAGGCAGCAAGAGAAGAGTCGCTTTAGTCACATGTCTTTCAAAAAGCATCACATGCAGATTTCCAGACTGTTTCAACAGAATCACATGAGCTGAGCTCTACATACCGTGATGAGGACACAGTGGGCGTCTTCAAGCTGCTCGGCCTTGTCACCAACAATCTCAGCCAGACGCTGCATGTCGCTCACTCTCACGATGCTGATGTCGTTGTCGAAGCAGAAGGACTGGATGAGGGTGAAGTGGATCTGGAGAGCGATGTCACACTCAAACTCCTCATCCATGGCCAGGACGCAGAAAGACACACTGTCCGGATCACTGTAGAGACACAAGCAAGAAAAGACATAATTAGATTTTATCCCAAACAACAACAACAATAATAACACAAAATACTGGGTTGTTTGACTGATTAAGCTTCTACTGAATCTCATACTTACAGATTCATAACTTTTGCGCATTCATATACACCAACTGTGAGGGAGTCGTTGTCTTTAGCGGACACCAGGACCTCCTCCAGGGCGTTGCCGGTGCACTGAGTACGCTCGATGGGTTTCTGGATCAGAACCTCCTCCAGAGTCATGATGAAGTTGATTACAGTATTCCGCAAAGGAGGGAGCCTTAGACAGTTTGCTCTGAGAGTAAATCCGAAAAGGAGCAGAGTGCTTTCAGGCCTGCTCCTCCCCTTTTTATACCCTCCATCGCTTGCGGCGCAGTGAAAGCGCTGCGGCCTGATTGGCTGAAGCTGAATAGTGTATTGGTATGATAATGCTATTGTCACACAGCGGCTCGTGGCAGATTGATGGGGGTCATCGAGCCACGCATGTTCCTTCTGTGAGCGCAGCAGCCTGGTCTGAAACTTTTTTTTTTTTTTTTAAGTTTGATCACTCAGTAGTATTTCTGTGCAAATCAGAGAAAACAGCGAGCTATTCATATTGCAGAGATGTATATTGGACATCAGCCAGTGCATGCATTTATAAGAACGGCTAGCATGATAACTTTTACAATTATATGAGCTCTAAAAGTGCACACAAACTCATCTTTAATTAACCAAGTTTCAAACTTTAAAAGCATTAAGAACGTCACTAATTCCACGAACATAAAAGAAATGGTTGCATTTTAGACTTTTAGTGATAGTGTTTCAGCAACAACATGGAGAGAGCGTGGCGTGTCCCCCTCCCCCCCGTCCTCCCTGAGCAGCAGAGAGAAAGGGCAGGTGGACATGATGCCATCTGTGGATTAGAGGCTGGCAATAAAACGGCCTCATTGTGCACACAGAAACCCTCTATTATCACTTTCCCCCATATAAATGCAAATGAAGAGCGTGTGCCAGAACGCTGCGCAATCTGCACTGCTGGCCCATGCCGACCACGTGGCCATCAGCTGTCCAAAAAAGTCCTTGCTCGTTTTTTTCGGGGGCCACGGGAGCTGAATTTTTAGGAACTACTTTGCAAGTTTATTGCAAGTTAGTTTGGTAATTGACGTTAAAATCAACCAAATGTTTTAGTCTGCCACTCTATTTCACCTGTTTTATTGATTATAAAGTTCCCCCTAATAGTTAATGCTTATTTAATTTAATTTTACTCTATTTTATTTTTTATTTCTTTTACATAAATGCATTTATTTCCTTTAAATAAACCAGTTTCTAACAACTTTCTATTAACCTCCGGTGCAAGATAAAGCCTTTACGCACGAGCCAACTTCATCTGTGTCACCGATGGAGCATTTCCTTCTCAGCAGTACTTATTTGGTTATACCTTAGCTGAATAGCAATTAAAAAACACATCTTACATCAGGCCATGCCTGCTGCAACTGCTGCATTAATAGAGTAGGGGGCTGGAGTGGAGAGGCGGTGCAGGAGACACAGGTTGGCGGTGATTGATTCAGCGCAAGGCAGAGCGGCAGATGGAGAACTGTCGCTATGAGGGACCCCCTCCCTCTCTCTCTCCTAAACCCAGGTCAACCCCGACCCCAGGGCGCGCCGATCTTTTGTCAGGAATTCTCCACATTCACCAATCTGTTGTTGAGTTTTGATTAAATTTGAATGCCAAAGCAGAGATCTTGTGGTCTGAAGTTTCACAATGAAAAGGTTATCTCCAAAAGATGAGAGACAGCAGATGCAAATCACTTTCAGTTTAAGCTGTAAACACGTGCAACATGCAGAAGGTGTTTTGTTAAACAACAAATCGCACATTTCTACATTACTGCAACAACACAATCATTTCTTTATTTCTACTTAGCTTTCAGTTTCTGTCCGTGTGCTGCAGCTGGCAGAGAGGCTTAGGGTTTTGGGTTGAAGTTTGATTTGGATCCAGCTGATTGAGTTTCAAACACTGAGCTATTTTAGGAAAGATCATCTTGCTTGGCCACAGGGCAGGCGTGTGTAAATCGATACCGACCTATTGTTGATAAAGTACATCTGCCAGACGGAGGCCTCTCCGCCACCGCGCGACAGGTGTTAGTGGTCAAAGCTCCTGGTGACCTGCGGCGACTCAGCAAAGCACTAAACTTCTTTGTACGGATGGAAAGTATCTAAAGATGCAGGATATGTTAAAGTGGTTTATGTAATTGGCTTCTAGCATGTGCAAATATGACATGGATTTAAGCATATTAGGCAAATATTTAGTAGATATAGAAAAAAGGTATAGTAGTAATTTCTTTTCAAGTATTGCTCAGCAACTTAACAGCCAAAACTCATAAAAATTCATTGTGATCTTGCTAAACGTTTGCTTAACTTTTGTTTAACCTGAAGACTTAAAATCATATTTGCAGCTGAGTGGAAAACTGCGGCCATCACGCCCAGCAGGTGCTGCGGGACTTCCTTTGTCCACCCTTCCTTCAGCTTCCCCCCGGGGACAGATGGTATCTCTCGGTTTTGTGTGGAGAGCGATGCAGACAGAGAGATAAAGCATGCAGGCATCTCCAGAAGTCACGCGCCCAGATTTAAGCACGCAGCGCAGCGGCGCGTGCCAGTGGCAACAATAAACTGCTCAGGCAGTGAAACTGGTCACGAGTTATAAAAGTCTGCCTAACTAATTAAAATACTGGATATTTTAGCAATAGAACGCGAAAAACAACACCAAACAGTGGTTTATGAGTCTTGTCATCATACAGTAGTATGTCTTTTCCAAAACTTTAACGTAAAGGTTTTATTGTACCACAGAATCTAGAAAATGAAGCCTCTGCAAACATTATGTAACTTCATTAAAATCATTTATTTATGTGTATGTCTGCTGGTTATGTTTAAATGTATAGGCAGGTTTAAATATTAGTAGTTTTCAGTGCAGCCTTTGGTTTCCTACAGAGCAGGAACATTAAAGGTAAATATCATTTTAAATATTTGGAAATAACTATAGCTGTTGTCAGAGGTGGCATGTGGTTAAGTACATTGACTGAAGTATTGTACTTAAATACAATTTTGAGGTATCTATACTTTACTGGAGTATTTTTATTTTTATGCTTCACTACGTTTCAGAGAAAAAATATTGTACTTTGTGCGCAATACGTTTACTTAAACTACTTTTCGGAATGAGATTACTCAAAACAAAATATAGTTGGCTATAATCATAAGACTTTATTGGAAGCTGATGGGAAATTCACAGTAGTATGTAAAGCTCTTCAAATTACAGGCATATTTAACATTAGCCTTTACAGATGAAAGATTAAATGAGATGTTCAGAATAAAGCAGCAGTCTCATAAGTGACATTCTGCATAATGAGTAACTTTACTTTTGGTACTTTAAGTATATTTTGATGCTAATACTTAAGGAACATTTGAATTCAGGATTGTTAGTTATAAAAGTATTTTTACACTGTGGTATTGCTACTTTTACAATCTGAGTACTTCCACCACTTTTTGTAGTGAAATCTTGAGGAAGTGCAACTTTTTTTTGTCAAATTATTTTATATTTTAAGATTCAAGGTCAGAAAATTTCAGTTTAAGTTAAACATTTAAACTGAAAGCACACATCAGTATGAAAACTTTGAACCGTATCATCACATATGCAGACTTGATGTTCAACATGTTGGATCACACAACTCAAGCAAGTTTCCAAGAATCTGCTGATTGATTTTCATGTTGGAGTGTAGTGAATGGAAGTCAGTGGCTGACTAACCCGTTAGGGGAATTACATTTTACAATCTGATCTTGAATCATACATTTTGAAACAATGGCGAAGGACAATACCAAAACAAAACATGAAGCACGTGTTGAAGGTTTCATTTAAGCTTTTTGTGCTGCTCCAAGCTTCCACTGGTTTCCCTTCATTTTCTGTACAGTATGAAAATCAACTAAGTTGATTGACTTGTGTATCCCATCAGATGGTTTTGCAGTTTAAGTGTCACTTGTTTGGTTCTCTAACAGTTTCAGTTTGAGTTATTGGCCACTTGTTATTAATGCAGAGCTCTGAGGACTTTTGATGACTGCAGTGTGTTCTTCCTATATATTTCATTATTCCTGTAAGATGAAGGAATCATTTAAAGGTCAAACTTTCCACTTTTATTCCTTTCAACCAAAGCTGCCCCTGACTTTCTAAGACTTTTCTATAGGCACGCGTCTCTGAGAGTGGGGTGGGGGCAGGCTTGTTGTAACCCATTGTGCCCCAGACAGCCAATCACTGAGTGAACGTGTGCCGAGTCTGCACTATAAAGGCTGGCATATTCCAAGAAGAAGCACAAACACTCTGCTCTGTACTGTAGGACAATATCAGCTGAACTGTGAGATACAACATAAGCATGAAGTCTCCAGGAAGATCTCTGAAGGAAGCTCTGCTCTGTGCTCAGAGCGAGGATCGACTCACTATAGGGGTTTATGAGAGTGCTAAAATTATGACTGAGTAAGTAAACTACATTATATAAACATGACTTTGGCGTCCTCTCTGAAAATGAAACTTGATCAACATCTGAAAACAAAAACTAACAAGCTTGCTTTGTCTCTACAGTGATCCGGACAGTGTGTCTTTCTGCGTCCTGGCCATGGATGAGGAGTTTGAGTGTGACATCGCTCTCCAGATCCACTTCACCCTCATCCAGTCCTTCTGCTTCGACAACGACATCAGCATCGTGAGAGTGAGCGACATGCAGCGTCTGGCTGAGATTGTTGGTGACAAGGCCGAGCAGCTTGAAGACGCCCACTGTGTCCTCATCACGGTATGTAGAGCTCAGCTCATGTGATTCTGTTGAAACAGTCTGGAAATCTGCATGTGATGCTTTTTGAAAGACATGTGACTAAAGCGACTCTTCTCTTGCTGCCTGAGCAGAACCCAGCTGAAGGGTCTTGGGAGGACCCTGCTCTAGAGAAGCTGCACCTGTTCTGCGAGGAGAGCCGCCGCCTGAACGACTGGGTTCCTGAGATCAGCCTCCCCGAGCGTTGATCTGGGACTTGGCTCCTCTCATGCTCAGATGCTGTGAAGCTTGTTATCTGGAAATGCTCATCCTGACCAGCAGGATGACCCTGTATCTGCTCATCCCTGGATACTCCTGAGGAGGATTCTCATCCAGGCAGCACGGCACCGGCCCAAGGAAGGGCCCCCGTGAACCGTCGCCTCTTGTCCCGTCCATGCCAAGATGACTCTCATTCTTTATGTGAATGAGGTCAGGTATGCCGCAAGAGCGACACGTTGACCCTCATTCTTTGTGCGGATGAGGTTTGGAGAGGAAGGAGAAGCGAGGTCTGCGTCCTGTGGTCTCACAGAGCAAATGTCGCACGTTGAAGCACGCGCAGCAGGAGAAGAAGCGGTGCTGGGAAAGAGGTCTTCTTAAAAAGGGACTTTTTAGAGCTGGCCTCTTTGCTGAGCAACACTACAACAGTTGCAGTCAGCGCAAATGTTTCCCACTTTCCAGAATTGTCTTAATTCTCTAAAGGTTTCACTTTAGAAATTTAACGATGACAAAAATATTCTAAAACGTAAAAAAACACTGAAAAAAAGGTCTTTTCTCTAAAGGTTTCACTTTAGAAAACGACTAAATGAAATTAATGTTAAGGCTTATTTGTAAGAATATCTTATTAACACTTTAGGGCAAAAGTGTAAAAAAATAATGGATATTTGATTGAAGATTTTGTTGTCCTGTTGAAACAATGTTAAACACAGTTTCTCTTTAGGAATTGTAATTGGAAAAAGTGCAGACAACAAAAGATCATAGTTTTGGTGTTTCATTTCAGATTGATAAACAAACAAGTGTTTAAATAAAGAAAATATATGAATAATTGTGTAAGCCTGAATTAGAATTTTGAATTATGAAAAAAATGAAAATGTAGCTGTAGGTTCTGTGGGTTTAACTTCAACTTAATTTTTGTCAAATGAAATAACTTTACATACATATCTGATTTTATGTAACATGATGGCCTAGAAATAAAATATGTGAAATCTTCCTTGCTTTCTGACTGTGTTTTTACCTTCTATCTGAGGTTAAAATTGCCTAAAGCACAAATTCTCGTGTAGAACTGTGCTTCAGCAAACCTGCTTTAGTGTAGTTTGATTTAATTTCTGAGCTCCTTTCGAGGATTTCATCAGGTACATCAGGAACAGGGGATGTTGTAGCAGAAATCCCTTCTCTCCTTCACTCATTCCTGGATGAACTGACTACAAACAAGTTTCACCAAATACAAATATATTTGGATAAAATATTATGAATGTATTACCAATTTTGAAGGAACAATTCAACCTTTTGGGAAAATACCTTCTTTGCCTTCTTGACAAGAGTTCAATGAGATGATTGCTATGACTCTCACATGTGCACCTGGAGCCAGCAGGCGGTTAGCTTATCTTAGCACAAATGTGCTCTCACACACAAGAGTGGAACCGGTCGTCTCTTTCAGCATTCAGCAAGAATGTGAATACCTATCAAGATATGTGTGTGGTGTTTGTTTCTCATGGTGTTTTGTTGTTTGTTCTCCATTGCTGCTGAAACACTGAAATTTCCCCATTGAGGGATGAATAAAGTGCCTACCTACCTACCACCTACCTACCATATATTTGAACATGTCAAACTAAACAAATGGCCACAAGATTGTGACATTAGTTTGAAACTGTCTTCTCGTTTGTTTCAGTGACGTTTTTTGGCATAGCAGAGATGCTGGAAATCACTGGTTCAAAGTTCATCTTGTCACTTCTCTCACTTTCTTGTGTAATGTTGTTGTCAGCCAGGTACTTGCTCTCAGCTGATTAACAGGAAGTTGTGTCAAGACTTACATGTCACCCTGACTCTGAGGTGGGGAGATTTTTTTTTCAGATTTTGTGAGGCCCACTGATTTGGTGTGTTAACATCAAGTTGCGGCTTAATGAAAGTGATCTTTTGCTCCTGGCCCATGTCGGTTTTACTTTTCTTTCTCTCATTTGGGATCCATGAGCTTTGAGAGGCTTTTGTGCCTTTGGAACTAAAGTCACTCTGACCTGCATGTTGCATGTCACTGCTATCTATTGTGGAGTCAACAGCTGCTGCAACCCCCATGCCCCACACACAAACACAGCTCTGACTTGTGTTTTTCATTTATGAAGTGCTCATTACGACTTCATGTGATTCTTATACCCAGACTGCAACATGCTATGACTCAAAATAATAATTAGCCCCAAACAGACAAAACAAAAAGATAAGCAACTGATCTGGAGTGTGCACAGTGCTGCCGTACTTCCCTGTGTTGCCTTCTCTCATGTATCCCCCACCCACCCACACACACACACACACTTTGTGTCAAAAAAAGAATGAAAATAACAGGACTATGCAGGACCAGCTGAAACGCAATCACCCTTTAAAATCTCCATGGCAGCCAGCCCGGCACCCACTCCATCTGCTGTCCAATTTAATGACAAGGAGAATAGGAGAGGAGGAGGCCCTGTGCCTGGCACAAGCCTGCTGCCATTCATCCATTCAGAAGCAAATCCTGACTAACAACAACATCCCCCCCAACAGCCAGCAGAAACACATCTGAAGGCACAACACAGCAGCAGGGTGGGGCTGCATCCACTCACTATTACACCACTGTGCTTTAAAGGAAAAGTTCAACATTTTAGGTAATATGCTTGGACACTTAGTGTGTTATATACAGAGCTGGAGCGAGGATGTGGTCATTCTATCTTAGCATTAAAACTAGAAGCAGGGAAGAACAACTAATCTGGATTTGTACAACTAACACCTCTAAAACTCATTAATTAGCATGTTTTATGTGCTGAATGTGTGCTCGGACTATGGATTGAAGTATGATGTGAAATATAATGCAGAAAAGAGTGTTGTACTGATCTGTCAGACTAAAGGGGACAAAGAACTTTGTTTCCCAGACTTTTGTTTGTCTGGACAAAGGTTGAGTGTCTGTAGAAAAACTAAATATTTAGGACATTTCATTACAGATCAGCTTTCTGATGATGAGGATATATATCGGCAGTGTCGCATTTTGTATGCTCAAGCTAATATGTTGGTTAGGAAATTTCACATGTGTTCTGCTAATGTTAAAGTTCATTAAAGTTCATCTGTTCAGAACATACTGTAAACCGTTGTATACTGCCCCATTGTGGTGTAAATATAAGGTAGCTACTTTACAGAAACTTAAACCAAGCTCCTCTCCTGTGGAACCAGCTCCCAGTCCCTTAGTTATGCTGCTATAGGCCTAGGCTGCTGGGGGGCCCCATGATGCTCTGAGTTTCTCTCCTATCCTCCCCTCTCCTGTCCTCCCCTCTCCTCCCCCTCCATGCATCTATATGCCACCATTACATGTCACTAACTTTGTGTCCTCTCTCTCTCCCTGTAACTTTCTGCAGGTTGCCCCGGATCTGGAACTCTACATCTCTGATGACATTAACCTGCCCAGTGTTTGATTGTTTGTTGTGTATTGTTGCTTTTCTTCTTTTCTCTCTCCTCTGTCCACTCACCCCAACCAGTTGAGGCAGAAGGCTGCCCACCAAGAGCAGGGGTCTGTCTGTTAGTCCGAAGTTTCTTCTGTTAAAGAGAGTTTTTCCTCCCCACGGTTGCCAAGTGCTTGTTCAGGGGGGATCTGTTGGTTTTTCCTCTATAATAACAATAATAGTAAGGTCTAGATCTAGATCTAGTCCTGAGATGACTTTTGTTGTGATTTGTGAATACAAATAAAGTTGAATTAAATATTGGGCTAAATACAATCATCTTGTGGGATATCTGTAGCTCCAAGAGTTGTGCATGCAAATGATGGTGAGTTTAGTCTCCAAAATGAGACCGAAACCACAATCATTTCTGTAACACTGAGCAGAACTGCACAACAGTCATGAGTATACATCTGCATCTGTGTGCATACATGCCATGTGTGTGCTGTCGAAACAGATTAGATGGCTAAATGTGCTAGTATTGCACCCCCATCCATTGCACACACTCACCATAACAAAACTCAGGCAAAAGCTACAGCCTACAGTCTACACCCTCATCAATGGACACAAAGAGTTAAAAAAAAAAAAAAAACAGGAGGGGCTCTGCACAAAGGTTCATCGAGACCTTGGCCCTTTCTCTGCTTTTGTGCTGAAGAATGGCAAGGTCCAAGAGCAGCTGCTGTTGGCTGCACAGGGCAATATGAGATGATCCCTTTCAGTAAAAACAAAGTGTGGAGCTGAGAGTGGGCAGGCTGCAGGAGGGGAGGAGGGAGGAGGCAGTATACAAAATGAAAGGCACACTTTGCCAGATCAACGTGGAGCTGACTCCCTATTCACCCTGCAGATCAGCAGTGGGAGGGGAAGGGCCTTAAAGTGAGGGAGGAAGCCTTTAAAGTTGACATGAGTCACATCAGTGACAGCACAAAGGAGTCCCAGAGGCCTGCCATATGGAGCCAGGCCCATCATCTGTTCAGGAATATAAAAAAAAAATCAACAACATCCAGCTGGAGCCAATGGTAATGTCAGCTCATTCCATGCTCTACCCAGTGACACTACATCTCTGCTTTCTGATTGGCTCTAGAGGTGTTGTCATTAACACAGTGTCTCAATTAGCCAGTTAGGTTGGAGAGCACTTTTTGTTTTAGTGTTGCAGGATGATCTTTGTGTGGGATTGATTAATATTGAAGACTAAAGGTTAATTAAGGATATAATTAAGGATAATATATAGTAAAATTGGTTGCCTCTCACTTTATAAGCAATATATGTGCTTCTACAAATTGTTATAACAATTTTAAGCCACAGACAGATTCAATTGTCCTCAATAAAGGTCTGTAACATAATGGAAGAAATCACTGAAAAGGAAACAATGCACTTATCAAGTTTAATACTAAACTCCAAGATAATAAGAGTTAAGTCTAAATGCAATTTTAAAAAGGAAGAGTTATTTGTGTGTCTGCATGTTTGTTGCTTGCAGCACCAGTAGCTGGTAAAATGTACTGACTTCTTAGGACCTTTTTGAAAATGAGATAGCACATTTCTATATTTTCCCTTGTAAATAACTAGTTCCAGATTATGAAGTGTTACTTCAATATAACAAATAGTTCTTCTTCTGATAATAACAAAGTCTATCACAGTTTATTGCAGCAGTTCTCTATTACCAAATGTCCATCTTCCTGTCTTTTCTCACCAATAACTTTGTGTGACACCTGGTCGCAGGCTGAGTTTCTGTAGAGTCTCAAGCAGATCCATGTCAAGGTCATTTTCCTCCTTGAAACATCTCAGCTCTGATGAAAGATGTATTCAGATCCTTTAATTAGGTACCAATATAAAAAGATTACCAGCAAAATATACAGTAAAGGCTGAGGACTGTTGGTCTAAATGAATCAAAAGTGAATTGGGTCTGCATGTGGACTTAATGAATGATGTCTTCCCATCCAGTTGAATGAATGGACAAGTTGTCTTGTGCCATCATGTGGTAAGTCACTTTTACTGCATGTCACTGTGTTTCTAGTCCTCTCAGGCATCATCTGTGTTCATCCTGAGTAGCACAGAGAAATAACTCCACCTAATGGTGAAGAGTCACTTTTGAATCACAGCACATCACGTTTCTCACTGTTGATAGTCAAAGC